ATATATTACACTGGTTTGTGATATAATGATCACAAATATACCACTGGTAATACTATTCATACTTGATCATAAATCAACCAAGCTATGACAATAAGAAACAAAGCCAAATTTCCACTTAACAAAACAAATGAAAATTTCATATGGAGCAAACAACTAACCAGAGAAGTCCAAATGCCCAGGTCACATCACAAAAATACAAATAATATGGAAAACTAACATAATATATTTCTGCCAAATCTCATCAGTACAATAAAGCTGTTCTATAATGAGAACTACCCAAAGAAATCCCAGGAAACAGAACTTAAAAGAACAATTATAAACATGAGCAAAATAGTCAAGGACTTTAAAGAGCATACAAACACATTAGGAAACTCAAAGAGGACATAAATAACTTACTGACTGAAGCTCCAGAAAATTAACTAAAGATACAGTTGGGAAATCAGGTCACCCAAGCAAAGAATATGAAGAAAAAAGTTAAAACTCAGGAACACAGTATGCAGGAGGTATGGAACACCTTAAAAAATCAAATCTACAAATTATAGGCATAGAGGAAGGAGAAGAATCTCAGGTCCCTGGCAATGACTAGATCTTCAGCAAGATTATAGAAGAAAACTTCCTGGATATTTTCAATACATCAGAAATGAACACGGGTGTGATGGTTTGAATGAAAATGTCCCCAATAGGCTCCAAGTATTTGGACATTTTGTCCCCACATGGTAGTGCTTATTAGGGAGGTTTTAGAAGGTGTAGCTATCCTGGAGGAAGCACGTCATTGGGGGTGGGCTTAGAGAGTTCTCGAGCCTTGTGGATCTCCAGTCGCCCTCTTGCTTCCTGTGTCTATGTGATGATGTGAGAGATTAGCTTCTGCTGCTCCTGCTCCAGCCACCTCCAGTACCATGCCTCCCTACCATGATGGACTGAAATTCCCCTGGAACTATAAGCTCAAATAAACACTTCCTTCTATAAATTGCTTGGGTCAGTGTTTCTATCACAGCAACAGAAAAGTGACTAACACAGAAGGTGACCAAGTTTCTCTTCAGTAAGATATAGAGCCCTTCGAGTGTATTCCCAAGAGTGGTATAGGGGGATCCATGTGGTAGATTCACTTCTAGCATTTTGAGGACCCTCTCCACTGATGCCCATATTGGTTGTACCAGTTTGAACACATACAAATAGTGAATAAGTGTTCCCTTTTTCCACAAGCATGTCAGATTTTGCTGTCATTCTTTAATCTTATTTGTTTTACTAGGGTTAGATGACATTTCAAAGTGATTTGAAATTTCATTTCCCTCATGAACAAGGATATCAACTATTTTTTAAATGTTTCTTAGTCATATTTACTTCTGTTGTAAGATATGTGTTTAGGTCTACGCTTTATTTTTTAATTGAGTTGAGGGGTTTTGTCATGCTTAGATTTTGAGTTTTTTTATATTCTAGATATTAGCTCTCTGCGATATGTTCACCTGGTAAAGATGTTTCCCATTCTGTAAGATGATTATTTACTCAAATGATGGTGTCTTTTCTATTCAGAAGACTTTAGTTTCATATGGTTCCTTTTGTCAGTGGCCTGTGCTACTGGGGTCCTGTTCAGAAAGTCCTTTTTTATACCTGCAACTTCCAGTATATCTCCTACTGCCTCCTCTACCCAATTCATGGTATCAGGACATATGGTGGGGTATTTGATCAATTTAGCATTTTTTACAAGCTGAAAGGTATGGTTCTGGTATCATTCTTCAACATGTAGCTATCCAGTTTGAGCGGCACCTTTTCTTCAAAATGCTGTCTTTTCTACAGTGTGTACTTTTGGCATCTGGTCAGAATCAGGAATATACAGACGTATGAACTTAACTTGGGCCCTCACTACTATTCCACTGCTCAATATGTCTATTTTTATGTCAGTATCATGCTGTTTTAATTACTATAGCTCTGCAGTATATTTTGAAATTGGGCGTTGATACCTCTGGCTCTTCCTTCACTGTGCTGGATTGGTTGATATCCTAGGCTTTTGTGTTTCCATATGAATTTGAGATCATTTTTTCAACTTCCCTAAGAACGGTATTGAAATCTTAATAGGGATTGTGTTGAATGTGTAGATTTTTTTGGCAGGATGGTCGCTTTCACAATAGCAGCCTGCTGAAGAATGAACAAGGAGGTCTTCTTGTCTTCTTCAGTTTCATTCTTTACTGTCTTAACATTAGCCATACAAAGTCTTTCACTCCTTTGTCTAGATATGTTCCATTTATTTTATTTATTTATAATTTTTGAAGCTATCATAAATGGGATGGTTTTTCATAGTAAGAATACTGACTTTTGCATGTTAAACTTGTATCTCACTACTTAGCTGATTGAATTTATCATCTATAGCGACTTTGGTGGAGCTTTTAGGGCCTTTTATGTATAGAATCATATCACCTGCAAATAAGAATACTTTGACTTCTTCCTTTTCTAATCAGATGAAATTTATCCCCATGACTTTCTTGTAATGGCTTCTTCAGATGAGAGTTATTCCAAAATAACAAAACAGTATAAATGAAAGAATGTCAAAGACATTGTTCTTTTGGAGTGATGGAAAGAAAACAAATATAAAAGGGAGAAAACTATTTTAATGACTGATATCATATGACAGAATAAAAATATGTACATTCAATGAACTAAATGAGGAATGGCCTAGAATCTAAAACATTGAATCAGAGTGTCATTCTACGGAGGGTGTTTTGCCCATGGAATCCTGACAGAACCTGCATGATTATCCAGCTATGCAGGCCTTGTTTGCCTAGTGAATCACAGCACCTGTGATGTTTTCTGAAGCACAGTGGTGGGATGAGTGATGCTGCAATGCCTGTGGTTTCCAAATAACCACCCAGGTGTATAAAAGGCCCACGGAAGATGGAGGCATCCAGACTCAAGAACCTACTGCTGGTCCTCAACTGAACAGTCCACTCCTGACACCATGTATAACTATGGCAGCTACTATGGAGGCCTGGGCTATGGCTATGGTGGCCGAGGCTGCGGTTACGGCTCTGGTGGCCTAGGCCGTGGCTATGGCTGTGGCTATGGCGGCTTTGGTGGTTATGGTGGCTATGGTCTCTATGGTGGCTATGGCTACAGGTGCTGCCGCCCACTGGGCTGTGGAAGGTACTGGTCTTACGGCTTCTACTGAAGAGTTTCTGTAACTGCCCAACCCTCTGATTGTAACTATCTGTTGTACTAGAACTTCCTGCAAGTTTTCTCCCATGAAGATATCATAAATGTCTTCAGAGATTCTAAATATATACTAATATATCTGAGAAAAAGTAAATTAGGCAGCATGCCAGTCTTGAATTTTTACATATGGTTCGATTGTGAGATAACTTATGAACTGCTTTACATTATCTTCACAATAAATAAAATATAGACCATTTGTACTCTCACGTTTGGTGTAAAATCCTGTGCTTTAAAATAAACTATTTTATTGAAAATGTTCTTTTCAATGGTTTTATTAAATAGATTCTATCAATTTAGGATGTATGTTTGTCTCTATTTGGTTACATATATATGGTTGTGGGTGGATTCATGGGAGAGATGTAATGGAGAGTAGCATAGTCAGGGTTTTCTAAAGCTAGAGACGTGTTAGAAGAAATATATATATATATAGATAGATTAGATAGATAGATAGATAGATAGATAGATAGATGATAGATGATAGATAGATAGATAGATAGATAGATGATATAGATTTAGATGATATAGATGCTATATAGATATAGATGATATAGATATAGATATAAGATATAAATATGGATATAGATAGATAGACATAGAATATTGCCTTAGAGGATAGGGTATAAGTAGCCCAACATTATATTCCACACAGCAGGGGCTGTGAATCACATAGTTGATCACATCGTGAGCCTAGATATCTCTACACTCCCAATCTTTCACTGAAGGCCTTGAGGATTCCTGGAAAGCTGCTGATCATCAGTCTGCATTGGAACCAGAGAAAATGGCTCTAATATTGGTGAATGAATGCCACAGCAGCAGGGCTGATGAACTTACAAGAAGGAGTGAAGGCAAACAGGCAAAAAGCAAGTTTCTTTCGTCCATATCTTTTTTTCTGGGTTGCCACCAGAAAGTGTTGCCTATATTTAGCCCAGGTCTTCAGCTTCAAATAATCATATCAAGAAAATTCTGTCAGTAGCAGCATGCATCTTACTTTTCGTCAAAGTTGCAATATAGTTGACAAGCATAATTAGCAATCACAGAGAGGGCAAGAAGAGGGAGAGAGAAAGGTTTCCCTCAGTTTATCTCTCAGCTATCACCAGAGAACTTTCTTCTTGCAGCAGACGTCAATTAACAGAAACTCATAACTGATCAATTTTTAGACAAGAAGATATTGCAGAGTCCTAGGCCTTAAATGAGTCACCTATATCACAACTTTTCCTCCCAATGCTCTGTAATCATGGTAGATGAGGAGGCAGAAATATTATAAGAGCTAGAGGTACATGAACATAAGGAAACATTGTATTGTATTCCGGACACAACCTAACAGATGTACATATGAGCCCACAGTGCTAATGACAACATGTATGAGACCTATGCAAGTCCAAATCACATAAAACCCCAGCATGAAGATTGGGGGGTGGCAAAAAGCCCCAGCTCTAGCTCAGGAACTACTGGTAATTAATATCTGCTGGGCGAGGGAGAGGCAGTTTTTTTAAGGGTGTTTCACTTGGTTGGTGATCAGGCTCCAAGGAATGGATCCAACCCCTGAGCATTTGGGGAACACAAATTAGACTTAATAGGTCAACTTAGTGAATGCCAGCCAGTTGTGGCTACTGGTAAGCCTTAACTCAAAAACTCAAAAAATGAAAAAGAATATTCACATGAAGTGGAGTTGGGGTTTGAGTCGGTTTAGTGGATAGAGACTAGATGTGGGAGATGGTCTGATTCTTATCAATATCCTTTGTGTGAAATTCACAAAGAATCAATAAAAATGTTAAAAAAAAAAAAATTCATTGCCAGGGGTTTGAACCAGCGACCCCTGGGCAGTGACGATTGGGGATGAGTAAGCACGCCGTTTGCCAGCTCACGCCGCCCCTGTACCAGGGACGCTCAGACACAACGGGGAGTCTGGTCAAGCAGGGACTCATTTATTACAGGTATTACAGAGCTTATAAAAGGACCTGAAAATCCCCCCTCCCCTCGAGGGTGTATCTTAAGGATGGTCAGCGCTGGTCATGCACTCCTCAGCAGTGCGGAAGTATTCTTCAGACTTTCAAAGCAAGCCAGGCCACGCCCCCAGTTACTTCCTTTTGGACCTATGCAAGTTGGGGCCTTTAGGTTCCCACAATTCATCCCTTGATAGGCATTTTGGTTATTTTCATATCTTTTCTGTTTTAAATAATGTCACAATGAATTTGGAAGTGCACCTATACTTGGGATAAAATCTTTTTGTCTACTAGTTAAATTTTTAGAAGTGTCGTAAGTTTGTACTATGAACTTTTGGGAAGGGTTCTACTCAATATTTTGTGGGATTACTCTAATAACATATATTTTTAGCAAAGTGTGGGTTACCTCTCCATCATGTGCTCCCTAACACATATCCATTTTCTTTCTATGCTAGCCCATTTTATTGAGCATTCTTTAACCTTTTTGGTCATCACTAGGATTTTTTTTTTGAGGAAAGATTTTTTTCTAATTCTATGCTCATTATAACATCAGTTTATATTCTTTGTGTTGTTTAGTTATAGATGTTCCATACAAACTCTAGTTATTCATCCCTTAATTTGTATAGATTACTTTTGCATTCTCTTGGTTATTGTACTTTGCAGAATCTACTTAGGTGAACAGAAACAAACTTATCTGTTTTAATTTTTGTTCCCTGTGCTTTGGTAGTCATAGTCAATAATTAATTGAGATGAAGCAAAAAAACTTTCACCTAAGAATTCTTATAGGTTTGTGGTTTTA